TGAATAACACTTGCTCTGAAGCAAATGTGTTTAATTTGCCAACAAAACTTTAAAGCTCTTTTTGTAAAACTTTTGTTCGTCACGAACGGGCTATACTTTATAAAGAAAACGATCCTCCAACCTTTATTTCACCATTTGCCATGGGAACGCTATAAAAATATTTGAGCGATGGAAGGACGCGGCTCGATAAATTTCTTTATGCGCCGAGTTCGGAAAATTGGATTTTATTCGAAATAAAGATCCGCTCCGGCGCTTATCGGGGCCGGACGGATAGAAACGGTATCGAATGTGTAAAGCCCCAGAGACATCCGATCGATCACCCCCCTTACATTCTCATTCGGACACGTTTGACAGGAGCCTCGGCGTCCGTGCCGCGTTATTTCCTTCTTAACGCGTCCGTGGGAATGCCAGCTAATTAAAAGGGAGAAACGTCGGCCTCTGTTCGCGTTAATAACCGAGTCCACCGCGTTCCATTTAAAATTGAACTCGCTCCCCGTCGTTGTAGCGCGTAATTTTTTTGGGAGGGGGGTGAGGGACGTATTTTCACTGGAAACGGCGAAACGCGTCCACACGTACAACGCTTCTATCCGGAACAGCGCGTTAATTACAGAAAATTGAGCATTGTGTGGCTGAATTAACCTTGCGTACATACCGGAAGAAAGCCGGAATCGACCGTAAACGCGCAGCTTTTTAATTAAGGCCGCAACGTTTCAGCGCGGAGAGAGATTTATTCGTGTCAATCGTAACGCGTCAACTAAACGCGATTAAGGACGGTTGCCAACTTGATGATTTCGAAAGAGTTGGCGGGATTTGGTACAGAATTATTCTGGTACTGGATTGCAATGTTTTACTTTTTTCCACTTTCTATAGTCAGCATTTTTTACCATACTCTTATAACAAAAAATACAAGTTATATTTTCTTTAACAATTGGTTACATTTTTTTTAACAATGTCATCATTATCTAATAAAATAGATTTGATACATGTATCCAAAACACCGATCAATAAATAAGCATTTGTAGGTATTGAATTGTGTAGAAAATGTAGTTGTTTCAATGCTTCGAATATAAGAAGTTACGTTCACTATTTCTTTAATAAACTTTGCCTGACATTGACTTGTAGACCAAAACCGAGGCCATTATATATGTATACATAAACGCATGTATTCCTACAAACAAAATTCGTACATCTAGGATATTCTCAAAAATTTATTGGTATCATTGCTTCATGTAGTCATTAAAAGTCATTATACCTTCCATGGCGTTTCAAGAATATTTAAAAAATATTTCATCTGAAAATATCGATAAGAACACGTTTGGAGCAATTTGTATGCTATTTCTTTTTCCGATATCCTATCAATTACGATATTGTGCAACATTTTCGTCATTAAATTATTATAAGAAATTATTTATCAAATATCTTACCTTCTATAGATGTCTATTACTAATTAAATCCAAATATTAACCTTGATAAAAAGATCGTGTCCGAAAATTCTAATCCCTATGGACGACTATTTAGAACAGACGAAACGACCAGTGACAGATGGATCGTTATTATACATTGCAGCTTTTTAAAAAGTGAACACAGAAACCTGGTTTTGTCATACTATTGTCTGCCGATCTGTACTATTGTCTGTACTACGATGTGCCGAATTTTCGGCCTTCAACTTGGTGTTCCTGGTTAACAAGGACGATTAAGTTAATTGTAAGAAAAATTATAGGCAGCGATTTCTAATTAGCGGAAAGGAGGCCGGGACGCCTTTGTCTATGCGGCCGTGGCAAGGTGGAGTGGAAGATGGAGTATCAAATATAAAATACCGCCCCTAATTAAGAGACTAACGTTTAATTAAAAAAGAGAAACCGCTGGCGTGTCTTGGAGTGCTCGAATAAATTAGACTATGCGGAGCATGATCGACTGAGTGAAAATCGACTAGCGAGATGAAACGATTGTTGTTATGTTGATCGATCTCGATAGAAACTAGAATTGTTGATTTGAGACTGATTGTCAGGTGAATGACTCTTCAGCAACAACTACCTGAAAGAAAGAACTCATCTAGGTGATACTGAGGATAGTCTATACCAGGGGAACTTGGAGTGATTTGAGACTTTAGGTATAGAGGTTTCGTATTCTCTTTATTATTAGTCAATGACAGTGACAGAAATTATTCTTCAATGAAAGTGAGAAGAATCAGACATTTTGGTGGGATACGAGGATAACCTTGACAATCTTGTATTTGTTAATAAATTGTCGAACGAAAGTAATAACGACATTTTTTAGCAGGACATTGATGTATCGAATGTACTTATAAGAAAGAATATTCACAAAGGGATTTTAAAGAAGCCTACTCGAAGAATAAATAATTGAAATTGTTCTTAAACACGTTCTAATACAAATAATAACAGATATAATTTTTGTAAATGATCGACGTCTGTGTTTCTCTTGAAATAAATCACATGTGATTTAATTCAAATAAATAAAGTCAAATTAAAAACGGAATCTGCTTTGAAGTTAATGGCATCTGATCTTGGATTACAATTCCATTAGTAATTCCTGTTTCTATCAGTATTACCTATAAGTGAAAGGGTGTTCCATTTGAATGAAAGATACCACTTCAATCTGGTCATTCATTAGTAAACTGTGGATTTTTATGCAAAATCATATTTGTACAGATTCAGATAAGGACGTGGGTTTAAATGAATGTGTTATCTTGTAAACAGTGCAACATGTAATTTTTTATTTATATTTTGTATACTCTTGCACTTATGCACATCTTTATATATTCTCATTTGCTCTCAATGCATCAATCAGAATGAAATATTTTCTTCTATGTAAAAAGAGCACTCTTCCACCACACCTTCTGTAAATAATTTTCCTTTGACCCAGGAAGATGCACCCAAATATCATCATCCTACTGAATTTTAATAAATAAAAAACTATTTAATCTGTTCATTCTTTAAAATTAATTATTTTCTGTAAATGAAATAGAGACCTTCCACCGCACCTTTGATAAATAGATTTTCTTTGATCCGTCTTTGAAAATGCACTCAGACCACGTCACTCCACTCACATGTACCTTCTCAAGGGGTTAAGACTTTTCAAAATCTTCAAGAAAATCGTCTTTGAGATTTTTCCAGAGCCCCGCGAGTTACTGTTCATCGTTCGTTACAAAGGTGCACGGTCGATGACTTCCAGAGCTCGTCTAGCCTCTACTCTTTCTTCGCGTGCATCCCGATGTCATCCGCGTCGTCGAGCCAGAGATTTCCACGCGTTACGAGCAAACGCGCGTAATTCCACGAGTTACGACCGTGTCGAGTTTCCTCTTTCAGTGTTTCGCGACGAACGTCTGCACTTATGCTGCCCGTCTTGCGACCTCTTTCGCGCCTCTCCTTTTTCCCTCGAACGATTTATTTTCCATTATCGGTGATGCATCGATAGATGGATTTAATGATAGCTGTGGAACCGAGATAAATCGGTATGCATTAGATGGATCTGCTTTTACTCCCGATCTCGGAGTGGCGTCGGCGATCGGGTCTCTTGGAAGTAGTACGGGTCAACGTAGGGAGAGACATGCGTTATTTCCAGTCCCTCCTCTAGCCTCGGTTGCGCTGGCTTCGATATAGAACTCAATATCAGAAAATTTTCCGTTTGTCCAACAAAAATTCACAAACATACACCTTTTTCGAACCGTTTTAGGTAGATTCCGTCCCTTAACCCTTTACACTCGAAGGGCGACTGTCTTTGTTTGCCTTAAATTTCTTTAAATCTCGAATTGTTTATAGCGATATTGGTTTATAAATATAGCGTGCCCCGTAACTAGTGGTACAAGCGAGTAGGGAGTGATTCTATGTGAAAAATTGAATCGAAAATATAGAATAATTTTTTTTCATATGACGTTTTATTTTCGAAAAAAGGTAAGTTTGAAAATTTGTTGAGTATGCGTGTACTTGATTCAGCTCCAGTTCGACGGATCTTACTTACTGTCCTATCTCACTGTTCCGAGTAGAGAGTACTTCCGTACTTCTTGCAATGTTTATAGATATCGTCAATATGATGATATTTCTTACATCGATTTTACGGTTTTCGAGATACTATGAGCATGGCAACTTGTAGCAATCGGGACAAATGTTCAAACTTACGTTTTTTCGAAAATAAAACGTCATATGAAAAAATTTCATTTTACATTTTCGTAATTTTACGTTTAATTTTTTACGTAGAATTACCCCGTACTCGCACCAATTACCACCAGTTACAGGACACCCTGTAGTTTCCTATGCTGTAAACTGGTACACATTGAAGTAGTAGTAAGATATTTTATTTCTACGACTCTCCAATCATAGTAGAAGAAGATTTAGGCGTCCAAATTGTTGACTCTCTGTAATGAAACTGTCGTCGATTGCAAAAGGTTAATTCCCTAGGAAGGGAATTGACATGACGATATTCCCGAACAATCTGACTAGCCAATCCCGATTAATGCGTCTGTCATTGGGCCGGTCTCGTCACCGTGATCAGAGATCTCTCTCGATCGACGGGGTCCTTCGATCAGCCTAGCGCCAGCGCGCGCGCAATTCCCAGTTCAGGATCGTGGGACAGGATCGTCATAGTTGGTAGCGTCTGCGTTATTAGCGGTGGCAATTGGAGTCGAGTAAAAGATGGGGGCGCTTGCGCGAGAGATCAAAACCAGCGGGTTTCTCTGTCGCCTGGGATGATGGCTCGTGGCCCGCCTATTGATCTTGGCCAACGTGGCACGTTGGAACGAGGCGCACACTCTCCTGTATACCGCTGCTCTTGCCTCGTCCTGCCTCGACTCGGCTTTGCTCGTCGATGCTCCAGAGACCTCGCAGGGGCTGAATGATTCGCCAACCATCGAGACGGACGCAAGAACACCGGGGGACGTTCCTCAGCGCGACAGCCCCCTACTCTGTGGCCACCAGGACGTTATGTCAACCGTACTCCTAAAGTTGGGGTCCTAGTCTTCTAAGGTCTCATGCAAGAGACTACTAAGGTGTTGTGTGACATATACGTTCATGATGGCTAAAACTAGAGGCTTAATTGCGAAGTTTTTTCGTCTAATTTGTTTTATTATATTAACCCTTTGGGTGCCAACGAGCGATATATCGCTGCTCGGAACTGTGAGTGCTATTACTCATTAAAAACATTAATTTTGCTCTACAAAAATGACTTTAGAAGAAACAACTGAAAAGATTCATTTTAATAGATGATAAATTATATTTATTTACCAACAAAATTCAAGTTCAAGTTTTTTGTGAAAATGTTTTCTTTATACAAATCTGTTTTTTGTTACAACTTTAACGTTTTATTTTTATTTTTTTAGTAATAAAGGATGTCTAACATGTTTTTAATATTGTGTAAAAATTTCACGAATCTTAAAATAAAATTAACCGAAATATACATTTTTGTTTACAATCATGTGCCTTTGCTTAAAATTGTCTGGTATTTCTCAGATATGAATAAAAATTTCCTCTGCCACTCAAAAGGTTAAGGGAGTACTCTTTTTTTTTTTATTATGAGTTTCGAGGTAATTTTCATGAATTTTGCACAGCCGAAGTACATGACACGTACCTTTGAAGATAGAGACGTTTATTTATACATATATAAATGCAATCTTTTATCAAATTTTCAACTGTCCTTTTGAATTTTTTGTTCAAGTTACGTACCTCCTTAAATGTGTTGCGTCGCCAATCTTGTCATGCTGCGCGGAATATCCTCAATTGTGATGAGTAGACGTGGTAACTCTTAAGATGGAGTTCTTATAGGTTGGAAGACGAACGTGCTCTGAGCTTCGTTTAGAGATAGATGTTTTCCTCCTTAACTGTGACTGGCATAAAACTTTCTTTTGGTTGAATAATTACATCTCTTTTCGAGACAACCCACTTGCAGTTTCCCTTACTATAGTGTCTAACAAAAGTATTCCGACTTTTGCCCTACTAGCTACGACTCCTCCAACAATTACAATGAAGCAAAGTTTAGCTCAAGAAGTTAACTAATTATAATAGTAGATTGCTAGAAAGGTTGCTAAGTATTAAGTAAGTTTGGTGATGGTAACAGGAATACGCTATGAAGAACTGCTACTCACTGAATTGGTTGCCTCGATTATTATAGAAGCTTCCAACTTTAATATTCTGCAATAATCAAAGTTCTACTGTATACAGATATCCTATAAACAATCATAGCCAAAAGAATTACAAAATAATGCAAATTCCTTCGTCTGGATATACTAACTCTTGAAGACTACAATATATGACATAATAACCTTTTTCAATAGTCATCGAGGATGAGTCCTAAAAAGCTTATTCAACACTCGCAGTTATAATAATGGCACATTATATACGAGCAACGTAAGCTTCGTGCTCAAGACTACCACAGCCTTAAAGTCTATAACCTCTCATGTCCAAGTATCATTGAACGTTGTCACCCTTTCCCTAGCACCACTCAACCAGGTGTTGATTGTAATACCTAGCCATCCCCATGTTATTCAATTTATCGAAGATATTTCAAGTCCTATTCATCTTTGTTCAAGCAGAGTTAAGGACGTTTTCTCTTGGGTTCTTCGTCCTGGTGAGGCTATAAACAACAACACCACGTTGTCTAATCTGTACACCCTGTATACACGCGATGGCGAACAAATGACTTTCGGCAAAACGTGTAGAACGTGTTCGGTGATCAGCAGCCCGTGTTTATCTAGACTAATAGCCACCAACCACGTTGTTCGCAGCAATGAGTTTAGCTGCTCGTTTTAACCCCTAGACGACTGTAAGCGCACTGGTATGCTCTCTGTGGATTGGCCATTGCCACCGTAAGTGTGGTATGCCATGCAGATTATCGGCCGACATTAATACCAATACTGGCGATATTCATTTATTTTAAGTTTTACTGGTTACTCATAGCTGCTATCAGCGAATAAAATATTATTTTTGTGTGTTCGTGCCGCTGTTATTGATACGCATCGATACTTTCGTGCGGGAGTTAAAATAATAATATTGAAAATGACACTCTGTTGTTTAGTTTTTATGGTGTGTATAGAATATTAGGCATCTGTACAGAATTTAGAATATTAGTAAAAAAGGAATTTTCAGTATATGTTTCACGAACAATGGTGATTATATAATCAAATAAGTTTTCTTATATAATAATATATTTGAAAATAAATTATAACTTAAAAACGAAAATTTCAAATAAATTTCAAAGAAAACGTATGCTGTTATATACATATTCTCTGTACTACACTAACGATCAAAACATAGCAGACAGATTTTTAAACGGTTCAAAAAAATGGAAGTTTTCAACCGATTGAAATTAAACTCTGTAAGGAGTAGTTTTGTAGTGTCTTCTGGGCGTGTGTAGAGTTCCATGGGCGAGGGTTGATGCGAAGGGGTTAATTAACCCCCCCTAAAGGTGAATGTGTAGAAAAACGCCTCCTAGAAAAATTCAAAAAAACCTTTGGGGTGACTCTCCTTGATGCCCTCTACAAAATGCACCCTTTGAAATCCTTCTCGGACAAACCCACCCCCTTTAAAATCCACAATTTTTGGACGATGGTCTCGATTTTAGACTCAAAGCATTCTATGGACTCTCCTGATCCAGAAAATGCCATCACCCATACCTATGCTCCCCATAGGCGCCCTTTGGGGGGGGGGTGGATCAGCCTGCAAATTTTCAACCCCCTTCGTAAAAAAACACTTCCACGGATCGAAGGGCGATGAAATTCACTATGTTTGTTCTCGATACGTTAAGGATGAATGCCCAGAAGGTACCGTTTCAAAAACTGCCCCCGGAGCTGAAGGGAGGGGGGGCAGAGGTAGGGGTGGTCCACCCCCAAGTGAAAGGGTTGGAACGTTGTTTCGTTCTATGGATCACATGTCCAACAGTCCAGGGCATCGGGCTGACACAGTTTTGATGTATTTTTCCCGCGTGAATAGCAATAAAATATGAAAATGTTGATTCTTTTCAAAAACTTGCTTCCAACTTCAGGCCCATCTGAAAGGTGAACGAGTAACCCCACGTCAACATTAACCCCACGTTAACCCCTTCGCATCAACCCTCGCCCATGTAACTTTACACACGCCCAGAGGACACTACAAAACTACTCCTCACGGAGTTTAATTTCAATCGGTTGAAATCTTCCATGTTTTTGAACCGTTTAAAAGTTTGTCCGTTAAGTTTTGATCGTTAGTATATAAGAAGGTCAAGGGAAAAATGTGTAAACAAAAATGGAATAAAAATTGTTATAATAACGAAAATAATTCTAAGCAAAGTGGAAACATCCGATAAAAAAATTCTTCCTTCTGCAAGGCTGATAGAAGATTGTTTTACACTTAATTTGATCAGAAACCTTGATTTTGAACTTCTACTATGTATTTTATTAAATGTTCTTATAACTTTTCTTCCTATTTATGAACTTTTTCTCCTACCACTCGTACATTGTATTACTTCAACGTATTCGTTATTTAGTTTCGACCTTTTTTTTTTGTTACCGTGGTGGAGGGGAAATCTTCGAAAAGACACCCCCAGATGTTGTTGGTGGGTAGTATGGGATTTCTACCCACTAAAACCCCTCCACCACGGCCCCCCGGGGCGGGACTCTACCGGAGGTAATACTTCGCCCCGAGGGGACCACCTCGTACTACACCAGTCCCAAGGCGGCCGCCTTCCACAAGGCCCTCATAGGGGCCTATTCCCACGATGAACCCCCCCAATCCTGTCCACAAGGGGGAGGAGGGCCCTACCTAATACTGCTGGCCTCCTTCCCGGCGTTGAGTTTGTAACAACTCCACGCCGACGGAGAGGGAGAGCAGCTTCTGACTTCCTCCAATGGGCCCGGGCCCAGAGGGAGGTACACCATTGTACTCTATTGGGCCACCATTGGGGGCCCATCACCCTCGCGTGTTCAGTACTTCCCGGCGACATCAACCATGAGGGGGCCCCCGCCTAGTGATCAGCAGGGGCCCTTATGCCTCCTCTAGGGAAATTATGCCCCGGGAGCGGGTGTTTCTTACCCCATGGCCCGGGCCACGGCGGTAAACTCCCGATATTTAGTTTCGACCTGAATGGAGTCAAAATACTCAGTCGAAACATCAACAAGGTTTATAACAGTCCTGGAGTGCCTGTGTTTCAGAGCGATGGGTTTTGCTTTGTTAGGAAGATTTTGTTCCGAAGACGATGAAGTATCCCTTGGTGTGAAGTTTGCGTTGAAGCTGCAAGTTCTACTAATAAGAAACATGCGCCGGAGGTTGTCCCCGATTTTGATATAACTTTCCGAGTTTGCAGAACGACTAAAATAAAGGATATGTATTTATATTTAGGATTTTCTTTTCAATTATAAAATACGCCTTCCATTCGTAGTTTCCTTATTAATATAAATATAAATGTATACTCCTAGATACTTGGATATATTGAATTATTATATTCAATTTAGAAATATATATATATTTTTTTTAATGTGGAGTATGTATACTGTGCATTAAAAATTTAAGAATATATATTGAAAAATATAATAAAGAATTTGCCACATGAAAAATATTCCTAATTTTTTGTTTGTATATTCTTCAATTTTTAATTTACAGTATATGTACTTCACATTCAAAATAATATAATATACTTTATAAATTTGAATTAAATTGTATCCATTATTACATATTTCTGGAATCATTTAACATAACATAAGAAAAGTGATTTCTTAATAAATTACGTCGAAAAAAAGAATATAAATTTGTTTAAATACCTACGCGTATCTCGAATAGATCTCAGTGTAGCATTAGAAGATGAAACTTCGGACGATAGTTTCACCCCTTAAACTTGAATTGCAGCGGCTAAAGAAACACATTTCTCTCATATTTGGCTGGTCTGCAACTCCGCAAAGTTTCACCAAAATCGGAGAGTATGGGGATGTTCGTTGCAACTTCGGCGCCAAATGCTTTGGCCGTTCATAGTCAACTGTGAGTGACGTCATAAACTACCCCAGAGGACAGAAAACGCGTGCCAGCAAGATTAAACGCGGAATAAAGCTGTTGGACAGCTAGACCAGTGATTCTTATCCGCTGTAGCCATTCAGCAGCGAATTTTACGAATTTGTACTTTTCATACAATTTGTAATTTTTAAATTTGCCGAATGGATAAAGGATTTTTATTAAAATGACAGTGATTTGTTCCACTACAGTTTCTTTGTTTATGTATTACTAATATCTATTTACCTACATTATTGTAGGGATTATTGTCAATTTTACCTGACAAAGTGGGCGTTGGCCCAGAATGGTTAAAAAACACTGGTCTACAGTATTTGTTGTTATTTCTCAAAAAATAATTATATTGAAGTTATTTGAAAATTGATAGATCACGGTCTATATGAATCCTTCTGAATTATAAATTAATATTTAATAGGTTTACTCCCACTGGTATTTAAGAGTCAAAACAATTATCACTTAGGAAGCCCATGCTTGTATTGAAACAGTCTCGACTTAAGAAATTTATGGCTTTTTAGGATGTGTGATTGATAGTCATTTTTTATTATTCGAATTGTTGTGCATTCAATAGAATCTGACTATATTCTATGACAGTATGTTACAGTCTCGAGTCAAGAGGTTGATGGCTTTCCAAGGCATGTGAGTGATCCTCATTTTTGATTACTAGAATTGTTAGTGCGTTAACCATGCGATATTTAACCGCACGTGAGGTACTTGTGCATACAATAGCGTCTGATAATATTCCATGACAGTCTGGTTCTTCCCGAATGCCTTATTTTCACCCTATGGTGCATTTCCCCTAACAATCACCTTTTTCCGATTGGTCCCTTGTTAAATAGTGGTGGTACATCTACTTCCTCATTTCAGGGATGTAATCGACAGTACGTGTGTGCCAGTGCGGCAGTGCTACTAATGAAGTCTTGTTCTAGGATTCCTGGAAGTCATCCTGCGAAACAATAGATGTCCCACCGACAAAGCCCTCGCATGTGCTGAGTGCAGCTGTCCAAGAGTCCCAGGTTACACGGTGGTCTGCAAGCAATAGACCTGAACCTTCAAGGCATGAGGTTTTCGAAGCTCCCTGCTTAATTTGCGCGGTAACTGCATTGAAGGTGCAACTACTCCGAAGTGTCGCCAGTTTCTACTAAGTTCGAAGCGAAATGTTTTGCTCGCTCATGATCACTTCTCTAACTGTGAATGACGTTACGGGCTTCCTCCTCTCTTACGATGTCACTGCGTGAAACCGTATTTGAGAGATAGAGGATATGTGTCAGCGCAATTGCACAAAGTGACTTTTAACCACTCTGCTGATAACATAGTACATAAATAAATATATGGACACTTGCCACCTTCAATGAATAATCGATGTACACTGTTAATCCCTTCAGACCTGGCGTCCACAATTGAGGACGCACAATTTAAAACTTACATGAAGAAAGCCCAGTTTTCCTCGAAAAATTCACTGTTAGAATTTTTTCCATACTAATTTTAGTCCAAGTTAGCCCTAAAAATTATTTAATGTATTTTACATTAGTACGTGAAAAAAATAATTCAAGTCTGAAAGGGATATTATTACTATAAAACCTTTTATTGGAAAATTCTAATACGGATGTGTATTTAGTAAAATTTATTAATAGACCGTGGGTGTTCATGCATTTGTAGGAAATGAAAATACAGAAAAATCTACGAGAATGCAAAAATATATAGAGTATCAACAATAATACTTGTTTTCCAAAGTTCATTAAGATATCATAAACAAATATTTATACGAAAGTTTATTGGTGCTCCTACTTACCATATTTAAATTTATGTTTCATCAATACTTAATCAAATATATTTATTAGAGAAGATTTATAATGATACAAAAACTATTATAATGATAAATAGTAAATGTTTGTTGATTAGAATAATGAATTGTATTCATTCCTCCCATATTCTAAGCATGTATTTAAAAATAATCTATTATTTAGAATATTATATAACGATAGATCATTCCCTGAACAATGTTATACGCTTGCAAAAGCTTGTCCTTTTTCCGATTTCAGACATTTTTGCAAGGAATCCTTTTAAATCAACATCACTGTCAGTGCCACTTATAAAAGTTACTAAAGTATGTAATTAAAATTCTTTTGAATAATCTCAATGATATCCAAATAAAACATGTTTCTTACTCCGTGTCTGGAATTATAAATATCGCTCACGTTTCAAAAATATTTATATACATAAGTTTACTTTAAAGGCATCCTTACTTTCTTTAAACAAATCATTTTCTTTCACAATGGTTGAAATCTAGCTAAAATACTTCAGATAATAATTACATTGTGATGTACCATATTGCAACGATTGCTTTAGTTTTAAAGTATCGCTATTTTTCACCCATTGATCAAATAGTTGAAGCTAAAGAGCATTCTTTTAGTCGAAGTTTTTTCTTTTCCATCGAGGCCGAAGTCTCGTTGGGTCTACGACAAAGTTTCAACTGCGGCTGTGTCGTTTCAGACCGAATTCGGTGGCTGGGATCGTCGATGTACAACTGCTGTCCTTCATTTCATAGCCCCTAACCTGGCTTTGCAATATAGCACGACACGATTCAGCGGGGTTCCGAGGCGCCCCTCGTTCTCCAGGAATTCGTGTCTCTCATAAATAAGATTGTCTAATCTAACACGACGGAGGAGCTGGAATAACCGTGAATCACTAATTAGGACACTTTATTCGAACCATTGAACCACTCCGACGTGGTTCGGAATTATTTAACTTTGGGAATTATTAAATTTTGTTATATAGTAAAAGTTAAGTTCTCAATCAGTATGCTAATGAGTACGGTAATTAAAAAAGAAAAAATATTGAATTATTCCTTGCTGTGTTAGGAGCTACTGGTACATCTGCTAAATTATGCATTTTTAATTATTGGAATTTTCACAGCAACGAAACTACATATATTTGTCATATTTGATGAGAAATATTTGTTAATTTTAAAAGAAAAATATTCGACGTTTTGTTTCTCAAAATAATTTCGTAATGAAGTCTAATCACTGAAATTAATTACTTGATGTAATATCATTAACATTTCGTTTTATGTAAGTGCATATACCTTTTGGCTATGTTTAATATATACTGTCATATTCTTTTGTATTATAAATGCATAAAATCTCTGCAGTTTAACAATAATTCTTTCATGCTTGGTGTGTGTGATCGACAAGGTAACGAAGAAGCATGCAGTGATTCTACGACAGAGTTGAAAATTTCCGACTTCTAGGTAAATTAGTGACTGAATTGTGCACTCTAATTTCTCTATCCTTCTCGAGGAGGCATTAATTCTTAAGTAGCCCCCCGGTCGTAGTAAACACTGATGGTAATTGCCAGCAATAAATACTGCATAAAACAGAAGTCCGTGATGTTTCACCACGGTAAGTTAATTTAATCTTCGTGTAACTGTTTAAGAATTAAATAAGTAGCGAAAATTAACCGAAAAAAATGCCCAGAAAATTTGCGGTAGTGGAAGCTGTTATACATTTTTTCCGCGACGGAAAAAAGACGAATTTTATACGGATGACCTGGGTGAAATTAAATTAACATAGGTCAAGAATAAATAGTTCTTCATTCTTAGAATACAAGGATGAAAATTCTGCTGAATGCATATTTGGACAAGAATTTCCCTCTCTCGACATTTCGATAAAAATTGCTAAGTTTTCTTCAAGAATTATATTAACTATTAATATAAATAATGTTTCGTTACTGGGAATTTATTAATGGAGAACAAATTCAACATTAACTGAAGTGCATATTTGATTTTTGTTCATGGGAATAATTAAGAAACTTGATAGTGATGTATAAAATATGAAATATTGGTACTTATTAATTTTGGGTGTTAATTATTGTTATGTTTCTAGTGTTTAAACAATTACTTATATGAAAATCATATTCTCAATTACATGATTTCAAATACATGATCTCAATTATACCTATGTATAGACACGAATATCCACACTTCCATTAAATTTAATATCGTCATTGATTATGTTTGCTCAAGTAAATTCAAAATTCGTTAAAAATTCGATGACGTCGGTACGCTGTGGGATACAATTCAAGCTCAACCGTAAATTATCGACTCGTTCATCGGTTAGCTACATAATAGATATTAGAACGTCGGCAAGCTCTGCACCTACCAGGTGTCCAGATAGCATCTGGCGCTGGACTATATCTGCTCGACCATCCGATTTTACTCGACCGCGCGTTCGCAGCGAACGATAAGACTTCCGGTCATTACAAGGATTTTGCCATCCAGGAAAACGTGAACGCCATAGAACTTCTTCCCTTTCCTCTCTGGAGCTCCATGCGCCTCATGCATGAGCCTGTAATAACAATTTATCTCGAGGAATAATCACTTTCCACTGGGAAGTAAATGAAACCGCACTGATTAGGAAATTGCAAAAAGGAAACATTACGTCAGGTCCCTGCGATATCGCGGCCCTTTTTCCGCGCACTGGAAATTTATTATGCGGTCGCGTTACTTTAACATATTTCTCACTCGAGGATCGCTTTTAGGACGAGTCAAATTTACAACAGCGAAGTGAATTGTTACACCTAAGACGAGTACAGTGGATATAAAACGTGTAAGTCCAACTTCCTTCGTTTCAAGACGTGAAAAGTTTACGCTTCTATCAGGGATGAAGTGTGATAGAGGTTTCTAAAATAATCATGGTGTACAGATGAGGTGTACGGCAATAATTCTATTATGAATTTACATTTTCTTGATGTTGCGAATGTAGGAATATAATACATGGGAATAATTAAGAAACTGAAACACAAACATATAGCAGAAACATAAGATCATTTAAATAATTTTTATAGTGAATTTTTTTTTTATTTTTCTTAATAGACGACACAATTTTTGATTTATTCTATGTTACTTACCTTACAAATATGAAAGTATGGACATCGTCTGTTGTTTTCGGGGATTTTTATAGTAGCTTTGTCATCGTAGTAAACAATTATGTTGAACGTGATCAAAAATGGCACACCAACAGAAAAATCTTTTGAAGGAAAACAGATGATATTAAATAACAATATAAACTGTCAAGCTGATTTATATCGGATAGAGTGGACATATTTGTAAACAGAAACAGGTTACAGTAAATTTAAATAATCCAAAATGGTATCTTCATGAACTTTGTACAAAAAATGTATGCACTCAATTGAAATGGCCTGTTGGATCTCGTCCTCCTGGAAATCCTGTAAAGTATGTGGGGAATGAGGTGGAGTGGGCATTGCCGGAGTGAATGAATACAGCATATTGAAAAGAATGGAAGTGACTAATATTTATTTCAATTTGATTGAGAAACTCTACTCTAAAGGGCACCGGCAGTAAAAACACCCAGTCAAAGGCTAGGAAAAAGCCTGGTCCCTGATCAAATAAAACAATCTTGACTCTATATATTTCGAACAAAGGGATAAAAAATAATGAACAAAAATATAAACATATCTAACGTTGCTGCAATTGAATGATCATTTAAAACTAATTTTAACGAACGCGAGAGAGCACTTTTACCGCAGCCGTAGTCGAATGACGCCTTGTAGACGTCGTAGCAGTTCGACGTGATCCAGGTGAAGAAGCGCTCTGACCCTAGAACGCCTGCACGGCTAGCCAGATGGGTTAGTTGAGCCGATCGCCGAACTGCGCCGTTCTCAAACTGCACGCAGTTAGCCGACTGAATTCTCCAAAAGATCGTCGAGCCGTGCACACCACGACAGCACACTTGCTTCTCTTTTGCAGAACCACGCACGAAACCCAATACATCCGACAACGCAAACGCCACACGACCAAGACTCGTGTCGATTCACAAAAGGGAACTAGCTCGTAGGAAAAACGCTCTTTTCCAAGCACCGTCGATGGTTTGAATGACCCGTGGGCCTCGTCTCCGTCCTTTCCCCTCTCGCCGATCGCGTCGGCGCACTGCAGCGTGGCATTTTCCTTATGCCCTTTTCCGCGCGGCGCCCAAATTCAAATAAGGCCATTCGAGCGCTATACACAAGCGTTCGCGTCGAGAATAAATAAAAATGCAGTATGTAATCCTATAATAAACATATACAGGGTGTCCCAAAAATGTTGTAACAGCTTGAAAGGGGTGGTTCGGAAGGTGATTTGAAATAACTTTTTCCTTAGCGAAAATGTTGTCCGAGGCTTTGTTAAGGAGATATTAACAAAAAAGCCCAACCAATCAGCGCCCGCAGTAGCGAAGGCTACGCGCTAGGCGATCGCACTCATACGCTATCGCGTCCGCTCCAACGGTATACGTGCGCTCTGATTGGTCAGGGTTTTTTGTTAATATCTCCTTAACGAAACCTTGGACAACATTTTCACTAAGGAAAAAGTTGTTTAAAATCACTTCCTGAACCATCCCTTTCAAGGTATTACAACATTTTCGGGACACCCTATATTTACTTACAAACCTACAGGGTTCACAGAAACGCAAACAAGCCT